ACTTATGTTCAGTTCGGAACTGGCATAAATACGAACTAATTCTTATGCAGAAAGTAACAACACGCAACATAAAGTGGTTCAAAAAGCGAGATGATTTTACTTAAAAACAAAATTGATGCTTCTTATAATACTAAAAAAATTTATATTTCTTATAATACTAAAACTGATCATTTGAATACCAAATTTCATCATCTGATATAAAAACACTTAAATGACAATTAATGTTTTGTAGCCACAGAAAAGTTATAGAGAGCATTATTGTAATAGTTCGTTAAGAAATTGTACTAGTGAAAAGGTAAGAGCAATTCATGCACAGTTATCTTTGGTAAAACCTCAGTGGTGAACAGTGGATAGATATAGAGATAAGAGAAATCACGAACGCAAAACCTAATCACCTTGATCTCCAACAATTCTGAAAAATAAAGTGAAAAAGATATTATATGTAGTTTGATTTGTATTTGCTACTCTAACTTTTAATCAGATATTAACGTTAAAATAAAGGTTTCCAAATATCTCCAGTAAGCATTTAAAATTTTCTGCCTGGACTAGAATCTCAGATTTTTTGGAGAGAATATTTGAACAGTTTCTAACTTTGTTGATTTTGATGCGAAATCCTCCAGATTTTGATAGACTTGTAGGAAAAAATATTATTATAATTGGAAATATTTAAATAGAAAAAAAATATAAAGTTAGAAAAGTAAAGTAATAGTTCTTTAAAAATACATCATGTATTACTTCCTGATCCAAACGCAAATTCACAGTTGTCTGAAACTAGAGTATCAGTTACATATTGACTCCATTAAAACTGGTGAATAAATTTTCAAGCACACCTATATTCATAGGTTTCGTTATGCGTTTTACATATATTGTTCTTTAAACTAATCGTAAGTTTGCAGTGAATCTAAAGTCGACTGGTATTAGTTTTCCAGTGCCATCTTTCGATAATCGTTTTTTAATATTTCAGGATTTAGTTATTAACGTACTGAAATTTCAAAAAGAGCAGGCTGTTGTTATAAGTTAATATAAGACAGATTTTTATTATTCCATGCACTAATGCTGTACTGCTAAGTGTTAAAAGAACTATTATTTCATTTTCTTAATATTAATTATGTGTATATAATGATTATTCTTTTTTTCAAAGTACTAAGATATTTCTGCATATTTAATGTTATTTATAATTAGACTGTGAATTCTCTCAATATTTGAACATTTTCCCTAATAATAAACTGAAATTAATTTTTATTATTACATTTTCTTCAAATGAAAGGAGGAATCGCAAGTCTTTTATTTTAGATTGAAAAGTAAAAAATACGAACTTATTTCTCTACAAAGCACTTGAATAAATAATTTGTAATTTTGTACAATACTCACAAAAAGATTTGAAAGCTTTCAGATTTTATATTACGCCCAAAGGGGCGATTTTTTAACGTTTTGTGTGTTACCTTTATTTATTAAATATCATGTTCTTCGCACATAAAACATAAAATTCAATCCAACAGCAATATCGCAAAATATCTAAAGGAGTATAGCTTTAGAATTTCCGATACACAGTCTCACGCGCTGGAGATAAAAATGTTTTGTCCCTTACAGTGTTGCCATTGCTCGCTTTGGAATGTTGAGTTTCTTAATCAAAAACTCATAGTGCTTTAGAAATTATGAAAGAGATAATAAAACAAATTTCAAATTTGGGCATCCAGATGCCCATATTCGGGTGGAGACGTATGTTATTCAAAATGTGATGGCTCTAGGTACCGTTGCTTTACTACAGTGCGAGAACCATACATACATTCAGGCAGATTCTTCATTATTTAATTTCTTTAAATATAATACATCTCTCTAATATTTGGTGGCTACAATTTCAGTAGTAATTCGCCGTTTTATAGTGAATCGAAGCAAATTGCCAAAACAAAATTAATAGCACTTCTGAGCTGACGATCCTTTGGGCTAATAATAATTGATTAATAATTTTTATAGTTTTTCATGATTTTAAACTAAATTTCAGATAAAAGGGAAAGCAATTTTATTCAGCCAAAGTTTCATGACGCGATGTGTCTCAATTAATCAGGTCTACTGCATACAAGAATGCATTAAATATTTAACTTTATGATTAAAAGAAACAGGACATGCTTTAGCGACCAACACGTATAGTTTCCTGGGATTATTTTGAAGTAAATGTTTGGAATTTTAGTAAGACTTACTTTAGCAAAGATATGGGAGTAGAAAAAATTAGATAAGAACCAAAATGCATATATAATAATCTGTGTATAGCACACTTTTGTAAAAATTCTTTTTATTTATTTATATTTTATACTTCGTTTAGAAAAAAATGCATTATAAGCAAACATATCTCATAACATATCATAATATTACTGAGTGAAAATAGATTAACATTCTAGCAATCAACACTCAAAGATCTGAATTTTAAAATTGTGCTTAGCTTCAATTGCTTACTTCATATAAGAGAAAGGAAAAATTACTTTGTGAAGCATCCCTTTGAAGGTTAACGAAGAGAATGAGAGATTACATATTTAATAACCCGTCTTCATTGAAATCTAAGCACATCTTACATAGTGCATCTCTACAGGTGATTGGCGCAATACGTAAACAATTATACATGAAAATAAAAATTTTATAGCACATTTTCATTTAAATTCTGTATATCTATTGCTATATTCACACAATTACTGGACGCTTTTATAGAAGAGAATAATTGATTAGATTATTTAACCTTTTGAAAACGGGATGGCCATTATAGTGGCCATAGAATCCTCTCTTTGAAAAGACGGGGTTGTCCACTTTAGTGGCCATGTCTTTTTCCCCCATTTTCCAGGCTGAAAAGTGGGGTGAAATGTCAAATTTGACGTCCCTTGGGTTTTACCATTTATCTCTTTCAAAGGTCTTCCTTTTGCGACATAGATGCACCCTTCTGAGAATCCATTAAACTACACACAAGAATCTTTGTTGCAAATAGGAGGTGATTTTTAAAGGGGGGAAAGCATTCGGTTCAAGATTCCCCGTCCTTTGGTAGCTTTTGCTGCTACCAAAGCCCCGGTCTCAAAAGGTTAAAGAGGGTGAAGTATACGAGGGCTATTTGCGTTATATATTTTACTCATGTAAAGAGAAGAAATGCTTCGTGGAGGATTTTCTAAGGGAAACTGGTTCGTATTTACGTCCCCAAGAAACGCCCATGTAGTCAGTCACTTTGCTTGGGTTTGAACCACGGTAGAACTGTCGATATTCAGCGGCCCCTAACTACTCAGCCAGTGGTCGGACTTCGCGGTCAACTGGGGCAAGCTCTTTTGAGCTCTCATCATACTTTTCTGAATTTTTGAAAAACTGTCAGTTGGGAATGGAGAGCATTCCTTAAGCCACAGCTGGGGAATAGGAGAATAATTAATAGAAGTAATAGTTTTTTTTTTTTTTTTTTTGTAATCAAAAGTTTAACTATAATTGCATTATGAGGAGGGGGGAAAATGCGTTACCCGATTGAGTCTTTTTATAACTGAACCAGACATATTCGTTTCAGAGGTCTAATTTATTGTGTCTTGATGTTAAGATATGGAATACACTCTCTTTTCTTTCAAGAAACAGTTCATCTTCTACTAACTCTGGCTAATTAAAACAAAATTAATCACAATTATTTTTTTACTCAAAGAGTCTTAAAAGTTTTCCTGCCGAAGACAAATTTTTTCCTAGACGTCTTTATTGACTTACTTCTGAATTATTAGTAAAATAGTAGCATTTATCACTAGTAATGACGCTTTTAAAAATTCGAGTTTACTATTTGTTGTTTTAGTCAGATCCTTAATGCTTTTTGTTTTTCTTGTTTTAAATTCGTACCAATTGCTATCGATTATGTAAATTCAAATTTAATATTACCTTTCGGATCCCTTTCTTTCAGGAAAGAATATTTAAAAAAAAAACCATTTTCCTGATATGCCAGGAATTATTTCTACTAGTTATTATTATTTGTCAAATGTATTGAAAAAATTATCCTGTATCTTTATCAGTATATTATGCGTATAGAGAGAGCATTATCGTCTTATTAAATTCTGAAAGTTATCTGTTTGCCTATATCATCGATTGGTGTTACTACTTGAAACAGCAGAGCTTTCTTTTAAACGAATACCGGTAGCTACCTATTTTTAGCCCATAGGGCTATTAATTTCGTTTTGGCATTTTGGGTTGATTCACTATATACGGCGAATCACTTTTTAAACTGTTGCCACCAAATAAATATTAAAGCCCCGTATCATATTTAAAGAAATTAAATAATGAAGAATCTGCATAAATGTATGTATATTTCTCGCATTGGGATAAAACAACGGTACCTAGAGCAATAAAATTTTGAAAAACGTACCTCTTCACCTGCATATGAGTATCTGGAAGCCCAAATTTGGAATTTGTTTTATCATCTATTTCATATTTCGTAAAGCATTTATGACTTTTTGATTAAGAAACTTAAGATTTCAAAGCGAGCAATAGGAACACTGTACGAAAAAAAAAAAGCATTTTCATCTCCAGCTCGTGGGACTGTATATCCGGAAACTTTGTTAACTTCAAATACTAACTTTCAAATTGAAAATTTCCCGAAATCATCGAATCTAATAATGGAGAATACCTCATACCAGAGATCTTCGTTTTGCATCTTAAATGAATCGTGGCCAAGTAGTGCTAATATCATCTAGTTATTGATCGCTGTGTACATAGTAATCTATAGCAAAATTATGAAAAATGTTAAATTCGCTCAAAAATGTAAAATTTCATTTAATTCATAAGTCCTTTAAATCTCAGTATTTTTCTAAAAATAGATTTATAGATTTGTATTGTGTTTTAGAATGATCCTCGTGATTCGCAAGGTATTCAGAATGAATTGAATCTACTTGATTTCGCGCATGACGTCATGCAGGCCACCGCCCCTCCTTGCAAATAAAGTTTTCTGACAGCTGAAGCTTGAAAACGATTGCATTTTGAAACTCAGTTCTGATTCTTTGTTTCAGTTTCTCACTCGTCGAATGGGGACGAATGGAAAAGTGATGCACTCGACTTTCGTTATCAGATGTCTCTCTGCCATTGTTCTCGCATCTGTTGTGGTAAGTAACTTCACATAAAATGCATGTACTTCACATGAAACCCATGTCCAATTCAGATGAAATGTATGTAACTCTTACGATAAATTTATAAATAATCATGGCTACCTGAATACTGAGAAGTATTTTACGTGAAGATTAAGCTAAACAGTCATTGGAAAGAAGAATTATGTTTTTGTTGTCAAAATAAAAAACTTATTAAGAACTGAGATATTTATTTCGATTTTGGCCTTTAAAACAATTGATTATGATATCTGAAAATTATTAGATATGGCTAGTCACAATATTTTTTCTCAGCTCATTATTGAGTCACAAATCTAATTCTACACATACTTACTCAGTTTCTTTTTTACATTTTAATCTCTCAAAATAAACTGTTGTTTCTTTTCAGAACTGCAGATTTTTAAGCGATGACTCTAAATCGAAGTCGTTTAGAGATTTTGAATTTCAAGCAGCTTTCTGAATTAAAAACATTTCTACGTTTGCTTTCTTGAGAAAAAAATTAAATGTTATGTGTTAATACTATGTTATTACAGTCATAATATTAATGATTTACTAATTTATTACAAACTTTATTATTTTGGTTTTCCATTTTTTAGGAAAATAAAAATTGAAGTTATTATCCAAACATTTAGATCTACATATGCATCCACGTTAGTTTATGACGAAATAGCTCAAAAATATAAACAAGTGTAGTGCAGAATATAAAGCAAGATTTTTAAAGGATTTTCCACGTAAGAGACATGTGCAGAGCAAAACGTGTAAAGGGTTTTCCAACTTTGTAAAGGATTGTGCATGTTATATATATTAAAAATCGTATGTTCAGCTACTTTTTCATGTTAGAGAGAATTGATTTAACTAAACTCTTCAAATAAAAACTTAATATTATTAAACAATAATTCTTATTTCCTAACCTGTAATAGATCTGTTAGAACTTGATAATAGGTAGGACAACTTGATGGTTGGAGCATGATAATAGAACTATTTTAGAGCAAAATCAAATAGGACTTGCATTTTCAAGTTACGAGAAGACAACTAACTAAAAGTGACTATTATCTTTGTTCATTGATTCTACTTGCAACAGAATTTCCAAGTAAGTGCTTACTATTGAGACTATTCTGTAACGATTTTAGCTTAATTTAGCAAAGAATAGCAGATTCAACCATGTCAGATGCAGCGCGTTTAGAACAGCAATAAGTGGATATGATGACGTGTTATAATAACAAATCAGTTTTAACAAACAAATAAGGCTTGTAATGATTTTTTTGATTAATTAAGCTTTCCGAGCACACTCTCATATGTATACAGTCGTTTGTTTCCTTCAAAAAATTAGGTGTGGAGTGAGCAGAAATATAAAGGATACTGTTTCTAAAATTCAGAACTAGATAATAGAAATAAGAATTACACAGCTAAATTAAATCTTACAGATTTAGCGAATTTTTCTTTATATAAAGAAATTTCTTTGTTTGATGGTTTTACTTTATTGAAATGTTTTTTAGAGAAATTGTTTTCCATAACATAGGCTTAATAATTACACCTAATTTGCTTTTTCGACAATTTTAGGATGCGCCACTGATAAATATGTCTGTCTCTGGAAATGTATTACATAAGCGAATTATCTGTTTTTGCTTTTTTTATAAACATTTTAGTTCAAATTACTTAATTTTAATGGACATTTTATCAAGTGACATTTTGTTTAAAGCTATTGTAAAAATGTAAAAATGAAAATTTTAATATATGTACGTTTATTTCTATTTTAGATTGTCCCCGCGACAGTTCGAACAGCTTTCAACTATGGTAAGATTATTTTTTTTTGGTATTTTTCCGAAAACGCAACATGTTTCTATTTGAAAAATGGCATTCTGTTACATATTAAATCCAGAAAATTGGTTATCTAAATGCTTTGCAGCAGAAACTATGTTCATGTACTTTTATTTACATAATAAATAAGAGAAATGTTTTATTCCTTTATTGAGCCAACATGCCTTTTAGAATTATTACGTTTCTAGATTTTTAGGAAATATAAAATAACTGTGTTCAAAGAAAAAATATATATTTCCTGGGTAAATCAATGTGATATAAAGTTGAATGGTAGATTTCATTTTTCTGGCTATATATACAGATAGAGAGAAACAGAAAATAAAATAGAATGTAATTCTACCAAAAGTTTCAAGCTACCTAACAAGAAGGAAGAACAATTAAAACATATGAAGCAAATATTTTTTAAAATTTGTACTGAAATAGAAGTAAATTAATACAAAAACATAATAATAAAATAACAAAAGCCGATACCACATTTCTGAATTATATCTGATGAATCGCAAATGAAAAAGTGAGATATAAATTGAAAATTAATTTACTTTTTAAATTTTAAGCATTAAAATTTTAAATTACAAGAACTTTTAAAAGATATTTATCAAGATTCAACCTTTTCATTCACGACTCGAAAGAAAACACATACCTTGCATTTTACAAATAATAATAATAATAATAATAATAATAATTTAAATACATATCAGAATGAGTAAGTAAGGAGAGAAGACGTTTGATCTTAATTTTGAAACAAGAGAAGAATCCTATAAAGAATTCTAATAAAAAACTGTAAGTAGTTCAAGAACTCTGAATAAAATACCTTTCTTAAGGAATACCTTCATTAGAATACCTTAGAAGGTATTTTAATGAATTCTAATATCTTAGAAGGTATTCTAACACACACACACACACAAAAAAAAAAAAAAAAAAAATTAAGTACAGCAAAATCACAATATTGTTTTCTTCCTCATTTTATTTTTGCAATTATTTTGTAATCTTTATGGTTATTTTTCTTTTCCTTTTTAGATCATTTGAAATTTTTATGATTGTCACAAATCATATAAATTCACTGACTTTACAATATATTCGTATTTTGATTATTTGGTCTATTATCTAATTTAATGTTATTTTCTTTTGCAATTTCTGTTTCTACTGATCATATTAAGAGAATGTAATGTTTGCAAAAGGATATTTTTCATACTCATACCAAAACAAAAGCCCTTTTTTTATGTGTATTTACAAACTGTTATTTTCTTAATTCATATTGATTTTCTCAATAGTTGGGTAGCTAGTTATTTTGGGAAAATTTTCCTAGATATATAGCAAGATTAATAAAATAATAGTTAATAAATCTATTATAATTTTGCAAATTCCTTATAAAATTAAAAATCTGTAATACCATTCCTATAAAAGATTTTTGAATTTTTTTATCTACGTTGCATGATTATGCGCCTCAATCTGATAATCAGTTCTTCACATATCTCCCTGAATAAATATTTTTATCAGTGTTGATAATACATGTTATTTCATTCAAATTATTAATTAAGAATTGAACAACTATATAAGATTATGTTGTGCTTAATTTTTTAAGGAATTATTTGAACATATTATAATTATCTTTGCAGTTTATCAACGAACAGTTTCATTCCAATATTTTAATAAGGGAAATCTAAAAGCCTTACACTAACGAAAAATGTCTATTTCCAAAAAAAATATGAATCTACTTGAAGAGTATTATCCAACATATTTCAGTACAGTTTTACTTTCAAAATGTTTAATAAACTGTTTAATAAAATGAATGCATGATGATCGGAAAACTTATCTTTTACACTTTTTACAGCTTACAACAATTACACGTTAGGACCTTGTAACTTTACCGATCCAGATGGATTTTCTGCTCCTTGTTTCTTTGATCTTCACCACCCACAAACGAACCTCTCCATGTTCAACTGGGACCTTGGATGTGGAGAAGGGGCTTTTTGGATGGGAGGACCACCCACCGACAACAATGGCAGCGAGAAAGGTTTGAGTTAGTTATCTTATAACAGTAACATAAACTGATATTTTTCGTCTTTTATGCCATATTGACAATATATCAGTATTCATGAAGTTTTGAATTATTTGCACACATCACCACTAATTTTCAAGATTATCAGTAATTCAGACTTTGTTGAAAAAAAAAAACAACTTAATGTTAAAATTTGTTGGACATAAGCTCCTCCTGGATCACGCAGTAATAACTTGGCAGATCGATTTACAAAAGAGGTGCTGGAAATTGGTTGGAAGAATGAAATATTTACAAACAGCTTACACTCACATTTAGATATTTTCCAACAGCTGATCTGAAGTTTAGTATTACAATCATCGAGATATATATGATAACTGGATATTATTTCTTTGCGGCGTTTTACTCTAAACATTGATTAACAAACACTGATCATTATATATGAGACGACAATGATTATACGAGGGTAAGTTGAAAAATAAGTTTCCCCTGTCGACTGTGGTCAGACTTGTGTATGAAAGTCAAAAAATAGAATGAGACATTAAAGATATGACATACCTTCATTTTTCCACATAGGTACCAAGTACATTGAGACATTTGTCATATCGCTTAATAAGCTTCAAAAAGCCCTCCAGGCTTTGCATATGGAAGAAGCGTTGAATGGCTTGTTTCACTTCAGTATTGCTTCCAAAGCGCCTTCCCCCGAGATTTTTCTTCAAAGCCGGAAACAGATGGAAGTCGCTTGGTGCGAGATCAGGACTGTATGGCGGATGGTGTAGGCGCTCCCAACCAAGAGTTGCAATATGGTTTTGCGTTGCGTCGCCGAATGTGGTCGGCATTGTCATCCAACAGCAGAACGCCAGATGTGAGAAGGCCAGGCCTCTTTTTTTTCCGAATCGCCTCTTTCAATTTCGACAGGGTGTCACAGTAGCGCGTAGCATTGATGGTTCCAACCTCCAAAAAGTCCAGCAACAAAACTCCTTGGGCGTCCCAGAAAACTGTGAGGAACACTTTACTTGCAGAGGGAGTTGTCTTGAACTTCTTTCGGACAGGTGATGACGGATGTTTCCATATGCAAAGCCCTGATTTTTCCTGGAGGGCTTTTTGAAGCTTATCAAGCGATATGACAAATGTCTCAATGTACTTGGTACCTATGTGGAAAAATAAAGGCATGTCATATCTTTAATGTCTCATTCTATTTTTTGACTTTCATACACAACTCTGACCACAGTCGACAGGGGAAACTTATTTTTCAACTTACCTACGTATAATAGATCTCTCATAACATGCAATACCATATTAAGCTTTCAGAACTTAACTTTTTCAAAAGATGTTTTATCATATTGTAGATATATTAGGCATTTTGGGAAAGCAAGAGTCATGATAAAAGAGCAACGCCTCCGCGGGAATCGAACCACGGACTTCCAGAATACGCGCCCAGCATGCAGACCACTACACCACGAAGGTACCCTAAGAAGGCGGGAGAAACACCTTATATATTCCCCCTTTTAAAGGGCAACTGGGGTTTTAAGGGACACAATCGTCAAATCCTGGGTGTGGAGAATCATCATACACCACCCTTTTAGTTCGGGCGCCACTGTAGAGACATTAGGTATTTTTTTTTTGGAAGCAGGAGTCATGCAAAATGAGCAACGCCTTCGCCGGGAATCGAACCACGGACCTCTGGAATAAGTGCGCAGCATGCAGACCACTACACCACGAAGGCACACTAAGAAGGCGGGAGAAATACGTTATAATATAACATATCTTGCTCTTAAAGTATAGAAAATAGTTAATATACTTTGAAAACAAGATACTTGATAATTTACAAAATCGATACTATACAAGACATGTACTTAGAGACATGTATACAGACCATTATATGTCTGTATACATGTCTGTATTACATGTCTCTATAGATGTCTGACCTGTATGTTGAAAAATACCATTATTTTATGAAATACCTAACTAGGAAGTTAGCAAGTTATTACATAGAATAGTTATTACATAGTTTAGCAAGCTATTACATAGAATAGCGAACTACAGCCTGTTAAATTCTAAAACAAAAATTTATTTCATTTTAACAAGTATTACACAACAGGCTTACGTAATAAACATAGTTGTGGACTACTTAGCCTGTATTTCTATAAACGGAATTCTTTGGAATGTGATATTTGAAATTACATCTTAATATCTGCAAGATTTTACTGAAGGTAGAAAGAAAAACTAAAGCTTAAATTCGTGCTCTTGAAAATTTTAAAAGAAATTTCTGTTAACTTAGACATTTGTAAAGATCACTTACGTAAAGTAAAATATGCATTTACATGCGTTTTATTATTGATTGTAACATTGGTTCAAAATCCAAATTTGCAAATTAGACAAAGAATCTCAATTCTGCGTAGGGAAAATACTGACAATATTTCACGCTGTTCCAAAAGTGTATAATAACTTTTACGCATGACGAAGTATAAAATTTAGAAAAAGAGCCCAGAATCTGGTTTTACGAAATTGCAAAAAAATTAAATTCATGATTGAGGAGTAGTGTTGATGATCTATATTTCTTGAAACATTTAAGTTATGTACTATTTAGAATTATGAAGCAGCATAACATACAGTACATAATATAGATATAAAATGATCAATATTTTCAATCAACAGGTGGATATGCTTTCATGGATCTTTCTCGAATGTCAAGCGATGAATCTGGTCTTATCCAGAGAGCCTGGTTGCCCACATTCCTCTTGAATGCCACTTCTCCGAAAGGAAAATGTCTTCATTTCAGCTACAGTATGCAAGGCTTGTCTGCGGGAGGACTAAGAGTGCTGATCAACGCAACTGATGTCACTTATACAGTTTGGGAAACAAGGGATCCTACGGAGGGCGAGTGGCATAGCGGTAAAGTGTCATTCACATGTGAAACGCCTTTCAGGGTAAGGAACCATTTTCAGAAATTTAAAAAATAAACTACTCAGATGAAACAGCATTTTTTTTAAACCTCTCTCGTGGCAGAGCTTATTATATTAACTTTTTTAACTTATTTAATTCTTCGTGAATCAAGAATGTTAAGGAAAGCAAGTTGAAATATGATTAATACGAAAATTTTCGTGTTTACAATGCCTCCTTTATTTTGTACAAGAAAGTAAAAAAAGAAAATCTTAATATTGGCATTTTAAAACAGGAAGAGATCTGAAAGAATCTTTCTTGTTGTTTTATATTCATGACTATGTTAGTAAACAAACTGAAATAAAATGATGAGGAAAAATACATATTGTTAGACAGTATGTAGTCCTTAATATATATTTTACAAACATTGTACGCATACTCATACAACAATGTATAGTCGTGAAGCTTTGATGTATACTTATGGTACATACACTCATTCTCCCCCTTATCTATGGATTTATGTTACAGTTTCGTTCCGTGAGATTTGCCTTTATGTGAAATTACGAAGCAAAGAGCCGGTGTAAAACCACACTAAACTGCCATATTCGTCAGTAACCTTCACCGATAAGGGAAATTTCGTGTTTTATTACATCCGTCTCACTGTTTGGGGAAAAGGTGGTGATTATCACATCTTTTTATCTGTAAGTCATAAAACTGGCAAATTTAGTTCATGGTTACAAAAATCGGATTATTTTTGTGGTTTTTCCCACGCAATAAAGGAATGGTCTTATTTAGAAAAGGCTTCTGGTTCTTTAAAATCGAAAATGTAATATTGCGAAGGAAGTTGCACATTTCAATACTAACTCTGTAGTAGTTTTAAGGAAAATTCTCACAATAATAAAATTAAGGTTAATTTTATTGGATTTAGCTACATCCGTGCCACAAATTTCAGATTTTGAAATATACAATTTGCTGCAAGGTTTGTTTTCAAGCAAGTTTTGACTAACTTCGGGTTACCTGAGGAATGGCACATTAATTTTAAAAAGTAATTTTGAAATAACTAAATAACTTTAAAATTTAGTTAAAATAACTTTAAAAGTGTTTGAATCCAATTTACTATATTTCAATGAATTTAATTCTCGGTATATACGTATATATATGTGTGTGTGTGTAAAGATTTTCGAGTTTTTTTTCTGAAAAACTATTTTTTAGATCTATCGGGATGATTCAAATATTAAAAATATTTGAAGTGTTCGCCTTACCTCAGTAAAGGCAAACACCTCAGTAGAATTTAGATGTTCGCTCTACCTGATGAATGACAGAACTCAAAACTACCCTACGTCACAATGGTGAATTTTGGAATTATAGTTATGATGGATGATTGATACTTTACTGTAAGAGCAACAAATTACGAATCTTTATATCACGTTCATTATTGAAGTATATTTCCCTAGAATGAGTCTGTAGAAGTAGGAGAGCA